TTTTCCGCGTCCCAGGACGAGAGGTAAAGCGTCATAACAGAGGAGCGACGCGGCGGCGCCGACTCCCCATTTTCCTCAACTGCGGCTCCTCTCTCGCTCGAGCGTATATTTGCCTGTGAAGGATCGGAAGGATCATCTTTTGTCCCGCGCACGGACAATCACCACCAAGACCGAGCCGCAGGAGGAGACCTCCAGTTCCGGGCGTAAAATCACTTCTACGAAGTCGCAGCCAATCTTGAACCGCTCGTTTTCAAAAAGAAAGAGATTAGATTTAAAAGAGATTTGCATAAGAATTACAGGGACAACGAGAGAAGGTGGTAGAGTGCAGCTTCTGCCGTAACATTCGCAGGAGAGGCAGGTCCAAATGTCCAATTGTCCTTATAGGGAATTTCCAAGATTTTCCAAGCGGGTTGTACCTCTATATCGTTTATCCTCTAACGGATTGGCTTTGATTGTATCAAAAGTACAAAAGTTGAGCTTGACATGACGTCCCGCGTGTATCGCGTTACGCCCTGTGTAACTTGGGTTCGCGACGAGTAGTGGATCAGGCCGGGAATGAGAGTTGCTATATTGACCGCAAGTCGCTTCGTTTACGCGTGTGAATAATTTACGTCGACCATAAAGAGACGTATCTGTTTTATATATTAAAGATATCCAGGTGATTCTATAGTAGTAAAACTTAAGGGGCTAATATAGTTTATCGGGTGCAAATTTTTATGATATCCTAATACATATTCACTGTACTCGACCGTTCGGTTATTCGGTTCGGATCCTTGTAAAACGTTCCGGATTACCGAAGACGATAAGGTAGGTATTCGTCTTCTTAAGAGGTTCGAGGTGGGAGAAAAAACGGAGAGATCGCCTGGCTCCTTTTGTAAACCCGTCTTAAGCCCAAGATGGTTACGAACGGAGGACACGGTGAACGGTCGAGCAGAGATTGATAAAGATAATGACCCTGACTCTGCCTGGTTGACTGGATGGCTGGATGGCTGGATGGCTGGATGGCTGGATGGCTGGAGAGTAACGGTAGAACAAAACTCTCGCTCCGCGCTCCTCTCGTCTGTCGGTCTCGACGGGCCCACCTTCCTTTAAGGCAATTGCCTTAAAGCGTCGCATCTATACCTATGTACCTGTACAGGTAGGTATATGTTTAAAGGTAACGAGACGAAGGTGATGACTCGTATTGACGACGGAGGTGAAGAAAATGATGAAGCTGGCTTAAAACCGCATTCTCATAGCGTGCTCACTCTCAAAATGAAAAATCCGAGGACCTAAAAACCTAACCTAACCTACCTACATTACCACGTGATGACGGCATGGAATGAACATTTCTTAATCGGCGACCGTTCCGTTTTTGTTAAACGGTCGACGATCGGTTTTTCTGTCTTTCTCGAGATATCGAATTTTTTTTCAGTTTTCAAGAATGAATCCGCAGGACTTTACTCAAGAGAATTTTCAAAGGATCAAGGAGTCCTCGTGTCCTGGTACATCAACGACGAATCCAGTCTGCTCGAAGGAGTCGAGAGGAGGGAACCTCTTGGTAAAGGCTGAGCTCTCTGTTTTATTAAACCGCCGCTACCCTCCCTAACAGACCCATACGAATAGGGTGGGCACCCTCCAACGCAGAACATTAATCATCCGTTGCGCTGGTTAGGCACTTAACTTTTTGGCTGGATCCCCGCGGCTACTTCGTCTTTCCTCCCAGACTTCTAGCACACACCAATCACGTCGCAGCGGCGACAGTCTAACCCCTTTCGTCTCTCTATAGTATCGCCCGAGTACATTTCCAGAGGAAGTGTCGAACGCAATGGGCTAGCGATAGAATAGGAAGAGGAAAAAGAAGAAAAGTCCACGTAATAGATGTAATGTGTAGCGATGCGTACGCCAAAGTAGCATCACGTTGGATTCTACTACATGTAGAACGAAGAATGGGGACAGGGGCCCGTTTTCCTTCTTGTTTATTATTACTCGTTACGAGCGTGAAACTCTCGAGTTTCCCACAGACCGTCCTGCCGCCCTGCCGCTCTACCACTCTTCACGTAGAGATTCTGCTACGCATCCACGCATTTAATATAGTAGCATAGTAGCAGCCCCTGTCCCGAGCCGCGTGGCACTGCGCGTGGGATTTGCCGCCCAGCTGGAGGCAAAACACGTGGTCCAAGTCCAAATGTGTTTTAACGCATAATTACGGCTGATAGTCATGAAAATCTTAAATCGAACAATTGCCAGTATTTGCCGTTGCTTTGACATTCCTTTGAAGCCGCCTAAAGTGCAAAGATCGCTACTGACGCTACTGCGGAAGCTCGCTACGATTTAATGTCAGCTGGTTCATCGGCAAAAGCTTTCCCACGGTGTTGTTTCCTTGCAACGACGAGGGTCTAAATAGAAGGAAAAAAAACCCCTCGACACGCGACCACCATTATTCGACTCCCCAATCTATAATGCCGAGTCCGCCAATCGAAATTCACTATACAGTCACGGTCAGTTTAATTCTTTAACTTGCTTGATTCTTTCCACGGGAGCGCGCTGGGTCGACTGTCGGCGACATTAAGCATTGGGTGCATGAAATTAGGTCGCTGGTTGACTAAAATGAGAATGAGAGATGACAGGTAATAAGCAATCAATGGGAACGGATGCTCGCCTAGCAATTTGCTAGGAGGATCTTCTTTAGTGAAAATCGCACTAGTGAACAGGCGAGGTCGCAAGGATGACCTATGACACTGAAATGAGCGATCGGTCAGGAAAAGATTCTCAGGATGGCCAGTCACTTTCGTGCAGATGGTCCGATCGGCAACGTGCACGTGTATCTACATATTTATCGCGTGCGTGCGATGCGTTACGGCGAAGAACGCCGGAAACGGCCTGGCGCGATCTGCTCTCGCTACTGCTCCTGCAACGCACTTCAACTTTTATTTCGCGGAAACACTTGGGGGCACACGACTTCCCGCGCCAATGCACCCAGAAAGTTCTGTGCAATGTAGGAATATAAATTTGCAGCTTCCATTGTCCTGAGATTTTCTTCGTTCCAGTCCTTTTTCTGTTGGCATTCCTGATAGTTGCGCCACCTACAACAGGTGGGGTCTCTACCCGGTGGAAACGAATCGACGGGAAGACACAGTCGTGTCCGCACAGGACTCGGTCTTAACGAACGAAATGCAATTTTTAGTACCATTTCCTGGGGCAGAGTTCAGCGGCGACAACAGTCGAAATATCTGAGTAGACTGGACACACGGTGGCTCGCGTAACATAATTTTGAAAATCTGACATTTACAAAAGAGACGAGTCTTCTCGGCCTCCTCCAGGCGGGTTATGGACTCGTTGGCTCGCGCCTGGCCAACGAATACCTCCCTCCTCGAAGGCCCCCGATGGCCCCCGAATGCCCCCGAGGGTCTTTCCATTATCCGTGCTTTAGGAATTTCGAGATGAGCCACAACAGCAATTTCAAAGGAATCCCGCGTGAGTTGAGCTGGATCATTTCATCAAGCATGGCCAACGCTTCTTGGTTGTTCGGAGTTCTACTTCTCAAGAGGGAGCTTTTAGGGTATCCTGACGCTCGTACTTTGATACGGAGGATACGGAGCCGCGTTCTCCGAATTCCTCCGAGGAATTCCCGCCTCTTTCGAGAAATCCTTAATAATTCTACGCGTGATTCTCGTCTGTTTCTCAGGAAAGCTGCAGCGATCGATTGGAGGCGCAGAGCTATCTCAACGAGAAAAAGATCTTCGACCTCTTCAAGTTCCTCATCGGACACCTACTCGTGGATGAGCCGTCCGATCCTGTAGAGTACCTCGTGGACCTCCTCGACAGGTGTATTCTCTTCAGGTCAGGCCTTGCAGAGCCACCGTTACTCTTTACGAATCGGTAGGTGCACGCCAGTAATCCCATTCGTGATAACGCATGGAGATCTATCTCTATATCTTTATAGAAGTATTAGGGCACACTGTAGATATTACAGCAGCAGTAGGGAAACTGTGAGCGGCGTTTAGTCTTCGTGGTACTTATTCGTCTTGCCGCAAGAGATGAGCGATAAAGTGGAAGGTAACGGAAGAGAGTGGAGTGGTGCGCGACTCGCGACGAAATGGAATTGAAGAAATTACGTAGAAGAAGGGTCTCTCTTCAAAGGACTCTTAGTTTAGAAGAGCATCGACTGGCCATGAGGCTGCAACGCTCCAGACACTTCGCAGTCCGTCTCGCCACTATAGCAGGACGAAACCTCGGCCAATAATTTGAAACTTGGCCGCTGCTCATTTCGGCTCCACGCCGACGTTGCCCCCATTCCTGTGCGCCTGCCCCC